CTCGCCGCCCCGGGCCGCAGGGAGCTGGATGGGGCCGCGGCCGCGGCGCGGAGCGGGGAGCCCTCCCCGGCACATCCCGGGCCTGTCTCGAAGGACGGGTGGGGGGACGGACGGCGTCTGCCGGCTGCTCCTTCTTCCCTCAGCCGGAGGAGGGAGAGGCGCAGCCGGGGCGTGAGGCCAGCGGCAGCAGGGGTTGGTTCGGGGGCTGGAGACCTGCTCCGCCGGGTCGGCAGGAGCTGTACGGTGAAACGGGACCAGTGTCACTGAGTAGCTCCCCTACGACTCTGGCTCCCTGCCGTGTGCTGCCGGCACAGTCGGTTGTCTGCTGCCATTTTGCTTTTTCCCCGTTCTTTGCCTCCCAAGCCCCCACTGAGTAATCCGCTCTGGTAGCTCCATTAGGCAGAGCCATGCCTGCACCAGGTAAATTCTCCTTTCTCCATTTGTTTAAGGAAAGAATTACGAAAACGGGAAGTAATTTACCTTGTTACAGATGTGTCATTCCTGTCAACTAGGGAAGACTATAAAGAGGGGGTTTCTTCTTTTATATATATATATATTTATTTTTTTCCTCCAGACAATATTTGATACCGTGGAAGATTTCCTTACATCTTTAATTTCTCAGCAATGTTAAAGACAAAATCCACCAAGTCTTTCTAGGATAAAAGCCTGCATCCTTGTAATTTCCGTGTCTCCTGTGATGTTCAATTTCCTTTGAAACCTTTAGTTAAAGTGTAGGTTAGAAAGATGAGTGAGGCAGTTTCATTAAAAAAGTTTTTAAATATGCTCTGTTGTAAAATTTTTAATTGTTAATTGTTAATGTAACAATTGTTAATTGTTAATTTAAAATTGTTAATTTTAAAGCAAGCACATGTATCATGCACACAATGAAATAACCCTCACTAAAATAGTAAATAACATGGTTTACAATATAGATAAATTATTTAGAGACAGACCAAAATTTAATTATGTTTACATATCTTGGTATTTTGAAAAAGCACTCATAAGTGGGAATATATATGAAACACAAAATTATAATGTCTTGTGATAAATAAAAATTTGTCTTAAAACCAAGTTTTGGGGTTTTTTTGTTTTTTGAATAAACATCCATACATACTTCATTGTATAAATGATAAAATACTTCAGTTTTTAAGTCACCCAAAAGTATTTCAGGATGTTCAATATCGCACTAATTTCCCTGAGCACCAATGGCCAAGATAAAAAGTGCTTTTATTTTTAAGAATGAACAGGCTGTTTAGCACAGCTTCATATATTCCTTTTTCTTTGAAAAAACACAGTGCTGTAATTCTGTTTTACAGGTCCCATTTTGCCTGTGTTTTGAAACACACATGAATTTCAGGAATCTTTGAAAATTAAAACCCCAGGGAACCTGGGCTTCTACTATTCTATCAATAAAAGTCTTGCTGCAGCAAGACTTACGCTTTAAAAATACATATTTTGTTAACTAGTTAAAGATTAGATAGGCAAGGTTTCATCTTTTCAGTTCATGCTGTGTCCTTAATTTTGCTTAAAGGTACTTTCTTCTAAGCTTTCATTTTACCAGGAGATAAATTCTCATGACCTAGTTAACCTTGAAAAGCCTTTTAAGAAATTTTTAAATCTCCATGTTTTATTTAGAAGTCACCAAGATTCTGTCCTGTAACTTCATCTACTCTGATCATGGAAGCTTGTATTAGAATTGTGAAGAAGAAAAAATGCATATTTTTAAAGTCCTGTTATGCTAAAATATCTGATATCTTTGTTCTGTGTTGGGAAATTATTGCATTTATTTTTCTAATTCATATATAGATGTTGCAAGTCTCAAATGTTATCCCTCTACTCCTGCTATCTTGTTTATTTGTTGAAATACAAGGACAGTGCTGTTACAAGCTTTTAGATATTTTGTCTACTTGCTTGGTTGTTTCATTGTGTGAATAAAAAAAATGAATATTCCCATGTCTAACACAAGAGGTCATACTCATCACACAGCTTGTTAGAAAACTGATTAAACAGGGTTTCACTTCAATTTCATTGTGCTGTCTGGGATATCTTATCACAATTTCAAGGTATAAACTAAGAATTTTGGAGAGCTTGCATTTAAAGAGCTAAATAAGGTAAATTTTGCTCTCTATAGAATGGTTAATAAGAAAGAACAGAAATTAGCTCTTTTTTCTATCTTCCATTGTTAAATAATTTTGAAGTTCATTTTCAAGAATGAGTGAATTTGTTTTCAGAAAAAAAAATATATTCTTCATGCAAGCTGAATTGTTACATTCTTTTGTGCCACCCAGTAATTAGTGTGGCAACTCAGAACTGCTAAATCATGCTAACATGGTGGCAGTGAATGCTTATGAAAGAAATATTATCTGTTTGGAATAAAGCTTTGGGTTTTTTCCTACCTTTTCATTGTATACTGGGTGGAACTGCTCTTACTGATTGTCATAGGGCTTGTTTCTGCTGTGCCCAAAAGGTTGATGTTACAGGAGTGTGTCTACACACATGTGCATGCACACCTTAATATAAAGTAAGATAGAAACAGTTACTGCAGATTTCACTTGATAATTATGATTAATGGAGATATTAAAAAAAACAGATTTTTTTTTTTCCTAACCTCTCTAATTGCAAGAACAAGATAAATAGTGCTGAGCAGTATTGAGCAAAACTGTATTAACAACAGGACAGGAAACACAACAGACACAAGAAAAATTAGATCTTTGAGAGGCTAAAAGCCACTATGAAGTATTTGAAATTACATGTATTGGCTGGTCATTTGAAAAGTTCACATAGCAACATGCAAGAGAGATTCAACACATACAGACTACAATAAAAAATACTAGAAAGCTACTTTGGCTGTTACCTTATTGCCCCTACTAATGCCAAACTCCTGTTAAAATAACTGAGAATTATGCATTCATAATAAGGTCAAAAATATAGAAAGCCAATAAATAAAAGGAGACAAAATAGAAAAAAAAAAAAGCCTATGAAATTCTATTCTCAGAGCATATTCTTCACAGCACTTAGGGGTTTTTAGAAAGCGGTTAAGGAAAAGCCTTGTCCAATTAATAAAAAGAAACAACAACAAACAAGCATTGCAGAGCTCAGTATTACAGTGTAAGGTGCCATTCAGTGAAAGCAGAATCACATTAATAAAAACAGGTGATGCCAGCAGGAACAGGGTAATTAATACAGGTTCATTCAAAGGTATCTGTATAGAAGTAAAAATGCTTCTGAGACCATACCAAATGACTGCAGTATAGCTGCTGAGATGATGGGCATTGGAACTAACTATGAACCACCTTTCATGGTGTAAGTTACCTTTTCCCTACCATCTGTCAGGGCCTTTACACACCAGACACGTCTAACATTCACCCCAGCAATGTCTGGTGTCATGTAGTTATATACCCTAACTGGAATACCACCTCTGCTGTACCTATGCTTATTTCAAAGACCTTTTGATAATGTTCCACATTAATGGGACAAGGAAAATACTATGCCTCCATACAGATAACACAATTATGTATTAGGAGCGTGCATGTTTTGCTGTTTCTACTTTTGATTTTATACAATTTGAATAATCTGCATTTTCTTCAGCTTCTCCAGCAACACCACCAGTAAAAATGCATGTTCACTCTAGTTTAAAACCTTAATTTGTAGTCTGGGATATGTAGGATATGGCACATAAGGACATTGGATTAACAACAGGTCTAAAACAGTAACAAAAGTTTTCAAGAGAGGGGATGTCTTCATTTGTAGGGATGTAGCTTAAGAAATATCTAGAATTGCTATATGCCCTTCCTCCAGTTAAGGGGCATTAAGGGATGGGGGTTTTTTTATTTTTTTTTTTTACTAAAAACATTTCTTATTTTTATTATAAATATTTGAAATATTGAATGTGCTCCAAAAAATACCTGGTAAAAGTATTTCCTCACTTAATTCACTTTCCCATCTTTTCTGGATATTTTTATAGTACTTGAAGGTCACAGAAACCTAGTGACTTCCTTTTTTGCCTCTGCTTTTTTGTCATTATCAAGGGATACTGCCACCTTTAAAGAATTTCTTAGCTAGCTAAATGCATCGACATTAATACTGGTTTAGCCAGCTGATACAGGTTCTTAGCAGGTGACTCTTAAATTATGTTTAATCAGACTGCCTTTTATTATTCTCACAAATTGGTGCAGTTTTATAATAGAACTCAGATAACTCAGTACAATTACTGAAATGCTAACTTAATGCTGTTTTTTTCTATTTCAGCCTATGCAAGAGCACAGAGTGACTTTTAGTGTGCATGGGATTATCAAGTGTAAGAATTTACTTTTCACTGTGCAGAATGTAGTTTTTGTAGCATTTTGACCTGTCAAATGCAGTGAGACAGCAGTTACATCTAAATATAAGATTATACCTTGCAGAGGTGGATGTTAGCCATGCTTTTTCGCTCAATAAAATATGTCATTTGTGGTTCATGTAGCCATTGGTTCTTAATAATTAAATTTGTCCATGTTTTAAAAATAAGGTTTGGAGTGTTTTTTCCATAGGTAGTTTATCATCAGTGCTCCGTTTAGCTTTAAAAACAGAATTGCTATAGATTTGCATCATCTTTGTTCTATTTGGAAGGTTTCTTCAAGGTTACTTAATAACAGATTCCTTTATTAGGCTGTAAACTGTGCAAGATGGACATTGCTTTTATCAGGTGTGTAATAGTGCTTTCAAATCTTTAATGGTAGATTCTTCAAGTCAGTAGCCCTCCCAGTTCAAAACACATATAAAATATAAGGTTGCTTCATTGTATTTACTGGCAGATTTTTTTTTATTTGTTTCCTCAGTCCTGATACCCTGAAAGACTGCAATTTCTGCAGCATATTCAAATCTCTCATCACAGAAGTCTGTTTATTTATTGCTGTCATCATCACACCTAAGGTTTTTTGGATGTGATCATAGTACACAAAAATATCAATGTACATTGTGGTCCTGCTCACAGAAATAATTTCTTTAACAAGTCTGGAAAGTTTATGCACCTGCTGAACTAATGGAAGCGGGGAAAAGGTGAAAGCAAGTGTTCAATTTTATGCTACCTGCAGTTATCCTTCCTTCTAATATACACATGATTATGTGCTTATTTTTTCTAATTTATGAGATGGCTGGTTTGAGAAGTGAGTTTGAGAATAGGAGCAGGGCATTTGCCGAGGAAGAGCACCTCCTTCCTTCCTAGCTATCTGTGTCTGCAGCACTTTCTTTTCTCCCCTATTCTACTTTTCACATTACCCCTCCTTCTCACCCTTCCCTGCTGCAGAGGAAACAGGACACTTACGTTACTTGAGAGCACTTCTGGGTGAGGTGGTAGAAGACAGGGAAGCATTTATCAAAGCAGGGAGTTACTCAAACAGCCTCTGCTTCAAGCTGCTTCTGGCTGGATAA